TTATTAGAGATGAGATGACAGACTATGTTTACCTATATTTATCTCAATTTGAATCATTCTAATGAAATAAGTGACTTATTTTAGGGAAAGGATGGCCTAATAAGAAAAAAAAAATTCTTTATTTTATTGAATAGTTAACAGGAAAAACTCTTCGAAATCTATCAGAACTGATATCGAATTTATTTTGAGAGTTTTTAGAAAAAAAGGTTCTCGTGTGTTTTTTCTCCTATTGTAAATATGAATACTTGTTTCGAAAAAAAAAGATGAATGATAATAATAATAAACCTTTCAATAAGAGCATTTAATGATTGAAAACATTTAGCATTTCTTGGTGGCCATGGACTTGATTTTCTTAAAACAGAATATGGATCATTTGTTGATGAGATTTCTTTATTTGGATCATTTTCTCCATATGGATTAACATGCCATATTACCATTCGAGATGGATCAATTCTATTTAAAACAATTATAAGAAATTTGGTTTTTTTAAAATAATTTAAATAAATAAACTTTTTTTCTGGAATCATATATTTTGAATTAAGTGCATCAGCTTTTTCTTTATAATCTAAATAAGTTCCACGAAACATAGCACATATTGAAAGAGCATCTTTTAAACTCATTGATGTCTAATAGAAGATAAATTAATTAATTAAGTTAAATAAAAAAAAGAAAACATACATTATTTGTTTGTGATGATATATTATTAGCTATGATTTGTTTAGCTCTTATAACAATTTCAGAAGAAACAACTTCTAATAATTGACTAAATTTATCTTTTTGATGATAATAACTAAATAAAATAATTATTATTAAATAAAAATAAAAATAAAAAAAAAGTCTTAACTGTGAATGTTGCCAAATAAGAAAAAGTGTATGCATTAATGATGGAAGATATGAAAGAATTTGATTAAGATAATTTGAATTATTTATTTGAAATATCCATGGTGATAATGTACTTACAAATGATAAATTTCTTTCAGCATGTGTTACAGCCTTTTTATTTAAATATTTTTATTTATTTATTAATTAATTAAAAATAAACATACTCGAGTTATTTCAAGTTTAATATCCATAAAAGAAGAAAGATAAGGTGAACGATTTCTGGCTAAATTTTTAATAACATCTTGAACAAATGGTGAATCAAGTTGTACAAGAAGATTATTTAATTTATTTATTCTTGATGTCCATAATTGAACTTGATCTTTTATTGAATTTTGTTCTCGACCATAAAACGATGGTCGCAATTCTTCTTGAAGTAATTGCTAAATTAAAAAACAAAAAAAAAAGAAATTTTATTTTTAAATAAGATCTTATTTAAATAAAAAACAAACTTTGATTTGTTTACTCCAATTAGTAAGAGTATTTTCAAGAATAGATAATATTGATTGTTGTCTTTGAGGTTCTTGTTGTGATATATGTGCAAGAATATTAAATGCAGGTAATGGAAGAACAACTGATTCAGATTGAATTGTATGTGTTGCTGCTGTTTGATTAAGTAAACGATGCAATAAATCCAAAAATCGATCTCTTTCAATATCAGATAGAAGCAAATTACAACTTAATAATGGAAGATATACATCACGAGTTATTATATCGATATAATGAACTGTTTCACCTGGATATAATTCAATTAATGATACATCTTTATCTAATTAATAAAAAAAAACTTTTTTTATTTATTTTAAATAAAATAATAAGACAAACCGAGATTTTCTCTTGTTAATTTATTAGTTAAATTTGTTTTAATAAAAAGAACAATTCGTTGATATGAATTAAAATCAATTGGAATTGAATTAAGAGCTGAAAGATGAGATGATGATTGAGATAATATATATAAATGTGTTATATCTTCATTTTCCAAAAATTCTTCAATACTTAAACTAATTTAAACAAACATTTTTTTTATTTTAACAAAAAACACGAAATATTTTAATAAAAAAAAACCACCAACCGATTATCATCATTTTGAATTAATTGAATAAGAGCATCTCGTTTTGGTTCAATTGTTCCTATTAAACGAGATTCTAACCATTGATAACGAGAATCTTTTTCCATGACGGAGCCTTTGCTTTTTTTTTTAATAAAAATTTCAAATGAATGAGAATAAAAGGAGAGACGCCATTTGCATATGTTTGTATAAATCAGTCACCATCGATTGCCTCTCTTTACTTTCAATCGATCACATTCTATTCTTCTATATTGAAACATAAGAGGGAGTTAACCATTAACATTGATCAATCAATTCTACAATCACATATTACATTTATTCTTTATTCGAACAATTTTTTTTTGTTTTTTTTTCATAATATAATAAATCTTTATCTTTGATTCATTGATAGAATTTATTTTATATTTATATATTATATATCTAAGATAAACTTCATTAAATTAAATAAAAACAACTTTTTTTTATTTTTAGATTTGTTTTTCATTTTTATGACGATTTTTTTTAAAAGGAAAACAAATTATTTGTGTTGACTCTCACTCCACATAAGATAAATCTGGAAGAGTAGAATCTAACTCTATATTACAAAAGTGAGCAAACTAGAATTATATAGATATACAGATCTTATCTATTTACAGAATGATCACTTTCAATTCAATCAATTTCAGAGAAGCTTTTATAGGGTGTGAGTGTAGTTACACTCAACCCACACTCTATAAATATAATAGTGAACTGGAATATATCGGTATTATATCAGTAGCTCTCATATTTATCACTGTTGATAAAAGCAGTTATATCTGAATAAATATCTTTCTCTTTTATCAACTAAATCTATATAAGTTAAAACAGTTATCTTAACTTTTTGTGAAGAATATTGGAGATATAGGAAAAATGTTTGAAATAGAAAACATTATGCTTGAAATCGTTTTGCTTTTCTCAAAAATAGATTTAGTTAAAAACTATGAAAATAAATAAGACAAATAGAAGATTCCTCTGAAAAATTTTTACATTTTAACATACACTACTGACTAACATTTATATAGAAGCACCTACTGATATTCAATCTACCCAATATTATACTCAAAAATAGAAAATAATCCCTCTTCTATCAAACTATGATTAGGATCTTCTATTAGACTGTCTATATACTTTGGCCACATAGTCAATGAATTTTCGACAAGAATCAGACCCAAATTATTTGACAAATTCGAACAACGATCGTTGAATGTATGGAAAATGTTATTAAAGAGAAAAATTCCTAGATAATTTTCAATTTGATAACAGTGATTAATGGAAAATAGTCTAAATTTCGATGTTTTCTATAATTTAGGAAATAATATGTTGTGCTTTCGAATGTCTTTCTTTAGTTTCGACCATAGAATCTTAATAGAATTCAATAGAGAGTCTTTGGTTGAAAGACTAACCAATAATAAATTAAATTCGGTTCCTATCGTCTTTATATTGAAGTTAGGTGAAGCATGATCGATACTCAATTCTAATAACTATAATTTATTCATAAAACCATCGTATTTTATTTTCTGTTGTTGAAAGCAATAGTTGATTTCATTTTCGAGGATAGAATAAGGGTATATCGATGTAGCTCATCCATTCCGCACGTCCTGTTCTCATTCAATAAATCCAATCATACAAAAACAAAACAAACGTTTCATCTTCAGAGAAATTTCGTGACTAAACATCTTCTATATGTTTTTATATGAAAAGTTAACAGAATAATATATGACACACGATCGATTAGAAGGATCTTGTTAGCTTCTCCGTTCTTAATCGTTTATTAATCGAAGTTGACTAGAATTTAATCATAAACAAGCTAAACTAATAGTCTAAACTGGCAGGTATATATATATGAACTCGAATATCGAATAAAGTTTCTGAAGATGATGGGTTAGATCAAAAGAAAAAAATCCATTTAGATAAGGTGAATCTACACGAAGAAAAGAAAAATCGAATCTACATACATATGTAATGATATGGGTAAATTCCAGTTTCGCCGAAAAAAATTTTCGCCGAAGATGAATTTCGCCGAAAGAAATTTCGCCGAAAACAGAGTTCGCCGAAAATGAAGTTCGCCGATTCCATTATCGCCGAATGAATTTATCACCGAAAACGAATATTAGTTACAGTTAATCGGACTTATAAACAACAATTATATTTTAGTTAATTAGCTCATGATACCGAGTCAGATGGTTACCAACTGAGTTGGTTACCAACTGAGATGGTTACCAAGTCAGATGGTTACCAACTGAG